TCATAATTTTAAAATGAATAACCCAATAAAGGTTATAAGTAACCAAATAAAGTAACTATATATCAAATTACAAAGATAAACCTTTAATAAAATAAAATTTGGCTTGAACACCATCTGATCTTAAAAATATATTCTCTGATAAAAATAGTCTAATTTAGAACTGATTAATTGCTTAATTATCAAAACCTAAAACTATTTTTATTACATGTCTAAAAAATAGTTTCTTTTGTGTGAAAAATTTTTAATTCTCAAAATTAAAATGGAAAAAAATACTTCTACTAATAATAAAGTAATGTTTAGCTTGCAATAGAACCATTATTTATTATAGTACATGAGCTTTTAGGTATAGAAGTACTTATGATTCTTTCTTTGATTTATGTTTGCTTGTAATAGGACCATTTATGTATTTATTTATTGCAGTAAATGAGCTTTAACTTGTATAAGTACTGAGGATCCTTTTTTTAAATTTTCTATTTGTTTTAATCTTGCATTTAGTTTAAAGTGTTTTATTAAGCTTTGTTAGTTTCTATGCACACAATCCCTTGTTTTTATTAGAATGGCCATCAGAGAAGTTTTTTTATGCATGTCGACTGCAAAATATTGTAATGAAAGATTGTGTGGATTGTTTGTTTACAGTTGTGGGTCATGTAATGTTGAGTCTGTAGCTCCGGATAAAAGACATGTGAGGAAATGCGCTCTCTGTAGTTTTCAAACGCTGTCTGTGAAAAATCAGCAGCAAATTTCCAAAACTATTTCCAGTGGCAATAAATATTGCGTAATTCAGGGTTTGGATTTGCAGCTTGATTCGTGTTTTCTGTTTTGATCTGTAGCTTCTTGCCGCGCAGATGACAAAGAATGTCATGACACACGCGAAATAAGGCAAAACATCTCATGTTTTCATGTTCAATTTCTCTCCCACACACTCCATTTGTCTCCCTCAAACAAGCTGAAGCAGCGGCCTGTGTAAGTAACTGTATTGTCCAAGCAAATAATTACAGTGGTTATTTAAACATAAACATGAATCCTGCAACTCTGATGATAATGTAAACTCTCTCTCTCTCTCTTTCTCTGTCTGCTGGAAGAGAGTAATTGTGAAGTCTCAGGCCTTTGGCTATTGTAAGTGGAAACACTCTGTCACACAGTATTACTACACTTTTCTCTGCTTTTCTGTTTGTGCTGAAATAATTAAAATCACTAAAAAGGCTGACTAACTTTAATCAAAGTATAAAACAATTTTCGAGTCCAAAGGAAGGAAAAAAACAAAAAGCAAAATCATATTTTTCGGGGCATAATTAGTCATATTTTGTATTTAATCTTTCGTTTAGTAGTTAGTATATAAATTAATAACAATAATTTTAGAATGTCCTGAGGCCTGTTGAGTTCAAAAAAGGTTCAGCAAACTCCGGATTACTAAGTAAATTTCAGGTTGACAAAACCAAACAAATCCAAACTGATTAAGATCAAGTTAAGTGGTTTCAAAACTCTTGTCTTACACTTTCACTGATAACTCTGTTAAGGTTTGTGATAGTGACTGAAAGCTTAACATGTTTAGCAAACCACACACCATGCATAAGAGGGACAGATTAATTAATTTCTTGTGAGAGAGTCAATTCAATTCTTTGTTGAAGATTAGAAGATGTCATTATCAGAAATATAATGTATATAATGCCTTTACGGGCAACACAGTGGCTCACAGTGGTTAGCACCTTCACCTCACTGCAAGAAGGTCACTGGTTTGAGTCCTGGCTGGGTCAGTTGGCATTTCAGTGTGGAGTTTGCATGTTTGCTTGGGTTTCCTACGGGTGCTCTGGTTTCCACAAAAGTAAAGTCCAAAGATATGCGGTACAGGTGAATTGAATCAACTAAATTAGCCCTAGTGTATTTGTGTGAATGAGTGTGTATGGATGTTTTCCATTACTGATTTTAACAATGTATGTTCACAAGCAGCTGCAAAAACACTTTCAAAGCATTATATATTAAGAAAATTAAAATGTAAATATTTTAATGCAAATTTAAAGCCCTAATTAATATTAATTGACAATTAAAACCTTTGTGAATATACGTAATATAAATAAGTAGTTATAATCCATATAATGTAAATAAATGATTTGCAATACACAAATTTGACTCAAATGCAAAAAGGCTGTAATTTGGAGCCAAAAAGATGCGCAGGAACTGGCAGTAACTTGATTGCATCAGATATACTGTATGTGTCAGCTGATTGGCCCAATTTTGTTTTGCAGTCTTTAACTCAAAATAAAACTTGCTCCCAGCAACAATCAGTCAGAAATACCTAAAACACCATTCTGAACCCAAACTACGTGAGCTTATCTGTGAAAAAACCTAAATCTTCTGGTCATTTTCTTCCAGGTCATCATCCATTAATTACTTCATTATTTAGAAATTTCTGTAAACCATTTAACAAAAAGCAATTCACTGCAGAATGCACAATACACATAAAATAAATACAGAATACACATTCATATTAGTAAAATTAATTACATTCTATTTTTACAATATCTTTAGAGAGTATATATGCTGCATAATGAAAAATTTGAATATAAAATGTAATTTAACTTAAATAAAAGACATTTACTGTGTATGTATATAAAATAAAAAAGGGTCTCATTTGAAAATGTTAATAATACCATAACACCTTCAAATTATTATTTTTTTTGCTGCTTGTTTAAATTACTTTAAATTTAGCTGAATCAACACAATACTTGAGGTTTTTTGGGGGGGGGGCAGCTTAATTATTTTGTTTAATCCACTTAAATTTGTAAAAACAATCAAGTTAACTTAAATGATTTGTGTTGGGACAACATGAAAGAATTGTGTAGAACAGCATTTTTTTTACAGTGCTGTATATAATCAAAAGAACTATTACTATTGCTCATCAGTACAGTGTAGACTAAATAACTCCTGGTTTTCCTTTTCTGTCATCCGCCGGCTCCTCGTGCGCCTTAGACAAGCTTACAGTATAAGTCTCTTTGACATCGACATCGCCTCAGACTGGAGACCGATCTGCCAAACCCTGTGAATCCAGCAGACTTTCATTGAGCTGTAGGGAATTCACTGTCACAGCCACACTGACTTATAACACCAATTTGGATGGCTTGATATGGCTTTATGGCTAAATTATTGCATAATAAATTGATTCCATTACTCAGCGAGGCAATAGTGGGGCAGAAGGGAGGCAAGAAGGAGAGGTAAATCTTCACACTCGCTCTGTCTTTCATATTAAATAACTACAGCTGCTTTAATGCGCATTAAGACCCGCATGCATTCACAGATTGTCACTGTCCATGTCATGCATGCATTTGAAATCGACACAACAGGTGTGGATGGACGAGGGGGAAGAGAAAACTGTTGCACTGCCTCGTCTCTTCTGGATTTAGCAGGGGTGGAGGGAGAATGAAGGAGGAAGCCAGTGTCTATAAATCGCCATGAACGTGTAAATGCCACCGCTGTGCATTCCTGTAGGACGACAAACTCTCTTTTTCTCTCTGTGTGTGCATCCGCTCCTGCTCTCTCACACACAACACTTTTTTATATCAGGTCTAGGGTGTTTTATTGGCTTGATTTGAATTGCTAGTGATTTTGAGACAAGGATATATATATCTCAAAAAGAAAAACGAGCTAAGAGTTGGTTTTAAATGGTAAAAACCTAGAGAAAAACTAGGTTGCTGTTGAATGTCGTGTTGAATAGACCAGCAGGGGGCGCTCAACCCACAGTCTGTGTGAGTCCTAATGCCCCAGTAAAGGGAAGGGAACAATATATGGTCAGTGAGTGTCATCTTTAGGATAAGACGTTAAACCAAGGTACTGACTCTCTGTGGTCATAATAAATCCCAAGGCACTTCTTGTAAATAGTAGGGGTGTAACCCTGGTGTCCTTGCCAAACTTCCTCCTTCAGCCCTTACGCATCATGGCCTCCCAATCATCCCCATCTATTGAATTGGCTTTATCTTCGTCTCTCCAATCTCCCTATAACTGGTGTGTGATGAGCGCACTGGCGTAGTTATCCTGTGGCTGCCGTCGCATCATCCGAGTGGATGCTGCACAGTGCACACTGGTGGTGGTGTGAAGCGTTTGGGTGTATGGCCATACATGATAAAATGCGTTATATAAATACACTTTACATTACCCTATTATTACACTTACAGTTTAGGCTATATTACATTTAACACATCAATATGAAATAGTTACTGATGTAATTTTTGTTTAAAATTTTTTTTAATCATTGGACACTCAAAAAATAAATTTTGCTGCTTGTTCAAGATACTTATTCAAAATGAGCTGAAATAACACAATTCTTGAGGTTTTTTTAATCCACTTAAATTTGTTACGCTAACTTAATCGATTTGTGTTGGGACAACGTGAAGGAATTGTGTGGACCCCTGAATTTTTTTTTTTTACAGTGTACTGTATGTAATGTATGTAATTGTTTAAGTTTGTTTTACATTTAATTTAGGGCAGCATGTACTCTGAAAAAATGATTTAAACATGATTCCTTAGATTAAATGTGGTTGCAAGCAATTTATTTGGGCTGAATTTAAACAAACAAATTAAGTTGAACATTACTTTGAACTTTGAATTTTTTTTTTTTTAATTCAACTGGGTTATACTGAATTCCTTCATGTTTTACCAACACAAATCGATTAAGTTAACTTAATTCATACCTGTCAACCCTCCCGTTTTTCCCGGGATTCTCCCGTATTTTACAATTCTGTCCTGCTATCATCCTGTAAATGTGTTTTCCTGTATTTCTCACATTTTTTCAATCTTTCTATGAAAGATGGCAATAAACATCAAAGAGCCAATTGTCTATACGCTTGTATAATTGTCTACACTATACGCAACCCATATTGCCGAACCACCAGGAGACGCCCCCTTGGTCTTCAATGTGAATCTGTTTTGCATTTTCATTTTATTTAGGCATAAAAACACTTTGAAATAAATATAAAACATGACAAGATTCCCTTTCCTTTTCATTACAGGCGCTGTTGCTTCTCCTATGCAATCCTCAAAGCAAGACTGAGACAATAAGACGCTGTTTCCCAAACAGATTCTGTAAACGCAATTTGAATCGGAATGTAAGTGAACACGTTTAGGGTACATGTTGGAACATACATATACACATAATAATAATAATAATAATAATAATAATAATAATAATAATGGGCGAAGCAATGGCGCAGTAGGTAGTGCTGTCGCCTCACAGCAAAAAGGTCGCTGGGTCGCTGGTTCGAGCCTCGGCTCAGTTGGCGTTTTTGTGTGGAGTTTGCATGTTCTCCCTGTGTTCGCGTGGGTTTCCTCAGGGTGCTCCGGTTTCCCCCACAGTCCAAAGACATGCGGTACAAGTGAATTGGGTAGGCTAAATTGTCCGTAGTGTATGAGTGTGTGTGTGTGTGTGAATGTGTGTGTGGATGTTTCCCAGAGATGGGTTGCGGCTGGAAGGCCATCCCCTGCGTAAAAACTTGCTGGATAAGTTGGCGGTTCATTCCGCTGTGGTGACCCCAGAATAATAAAGGGACTTAGCCAACAAGAAAATGAATGAATAATAATAACATCTAAACATGTCGATCTTGCTGATTTTTTAAATTTTATTTTTAACACAACAAATTTTGTCTTAAAAGAGCATAAATAGTTATGAAAGCAATCAACAGCATTCATTATGTGGGCTTTTTTAAAGTGAGACCTCTTATTTAATTGGTATCCCTTTTTTTTTACAACCCAATGTAGACAGGTATGACTTAATTGTTTACCACATTCAAGTGGATTGAACATCAAGTAATTAAGTTGTCAGTTTATTTATTGGGTTTTACTGTGCCCAAATTGCTTTGTTTACTCAAATGCAGTAAGTTTACATTACTCATTAGGATTAGTTTTTGTACTGAAATGGTTTGTTCCAATCGGTTTCCTCAAATGGTTTGAGTTACCTTATTTTTTGGGTTTTACGGTGAAGGAATAATTATTGGTGGGGGTCATTGATTTAATAGAAAATACCAGATGTGGTGAGGCGGCCATGGCATGGAGCACTTACAAATTAGCCTCTGAATCAAATAGGTGCAAATTGCTGTGATGGTTCCCACGCGTATAGACACAGTTTAGGTGTCGTATTTCAAGATATTTGTCAGATTTTTGTTCTCGAATTGCTGCTGTGTATAGGATTAGTTTCTATTATACATCTCACCCAAAGCGTTTTGTTTTCATTTGATTTAGATCGTTTAGCATAATGATATGGAACTGTAGATCTGCCTGGAACTACTTTACCTGTGTGTTTCCTTGAAAACCTGTTCATCTGCCAATTAGAAGAAAGCATTCAACAGCCCTCAGAAAATGTTAGCATTTTTTGTCCTCTCTGTACTTGGTTAAATTAAAAACATCAAGTTGAATCTTATAAAACCATAAAATAAAGTTGAAACATGGTCATAGTAACATGAAAACATGTTGTCATGCCATGATCAAATATTTGTTTACAACTGTGCCTTCCAGACCAGCGGAATCACACAGAATTAGCCCTGTATTTTCCCATGCAGGTACACGTTTACACGTCTAAAATTAAAATGCGCAATTAAACAAAATAACGTGTTGTTTTTGATGTTCTTTTTGCGTTGCGGTTATGTTTGACTGGGGTTAATGAGCAGGAGACGGGGCCCTCATCAGCTGAACCCCCTCCCTGAACCCAGTGTGGTCTCACCCGCCCCGAACACAGATCTAATTGGGGGCAATCACTCAGATAAAGAGGCCCAGACACACACACGCACACGCACACATGCACACGCACGCTCACTCTATCACTCTTGTCTGTTAGCCCTCCCATTAAAATGCCATGTTCTTCTTTCACTTCTGCACAGAGTGATCCAGCCGGCTGGCTTTTGTGTTCGTGAAGGAGAAGAGATCGAGGCACAGAGAGAGCCGACCCGCTGTTGACTGGTGCCATTGTTTCGGAGCCCTATGAATTCCCCTCCTTCAAAGTACAGACCCCACAGGTTTTCAATACATGTCCTCTGTGTGTCTTTCTCTCTCGGTTTCACTTCAGCTCTTATGGTATACAGGTGAAGGGTGTCGTTTTTTTGTGCCTGTGTAATTATACTTTGTTTATTGTGGATCTGTTAGCAAGGTTTAAGTGTAAATGTTATGGTTATTGCAGATAACTAAATATATAAAACTATAGAAACCTTTTGTTTCTAAAATTAATTTTAATTATTTTTTTAAAAATTAGCTTGTTGTCAGGGGAACATTTTGGATTCTCATCAAATGTTAAATAATGGATTGAGGATTTGGTGTGATAACATGTAATTATTTGTTAGGAGCTTACCAAGGTCATCCAATATACAGTAGCAGCAGGGTTGGGCGAAGATACGTAAAAAAAAATATTAAAATTAAATATCAAACACCTTAAGTTTAGGTTTATCAAAATAAACTACAAAATACAGAATTTACAAAATGTAGCAAAAATGTAGGTTTGGCAACGTATTTCCACTGAGCCTGGTCTGAGATTATCACACCTGCTATTTTAGATGTTTACTTGCAGGCACTGAAAATATTTGCCTGAGTATTTGTTGGTTCCTTCCTCTGTGGCAACTCCTTATAAAGCAGGAAATAAGCTAAAGAAGAGTGAGTGTGTGTTCTGAAGGTAAACAAATTTCTTCTAGGTTCAGAATGACATGAGGGTAAATAAATGATGACACAATGTTCGTTTTGGAGTAAACTTTTGAGGAAGAACTCTCTGTTTGTTCTTACAATGGTAGGTTTTCTGTTGCTTATCAGAAATGACACACACACACACACAAATACACACACACACACACTGCACTTTAAAAGTTATATTTAATTTAGGAGCAGTGAAAATAAGAGCATTTGTGTGAGGATTTGGTGCGTGTTGTTCCACTGGATCAGACTGGTGAAGAGGCCTGCTCATGATTGCCACGTGGGCTTCAGAACAGAGAGAGACTGTTGATTTGGAAATGGTACAGAATGAAATATGCAGAATGATTGTGCAGCTATTTAAGTGAAGAGCCAGAGGCACCAGTACTCGGAGGCTCTCGGCTCCTCTGCCTCTCTCAGAGCGGGATGGGCTTTGAGTCAGTGTTGAGTTACACGGATGCTGCTGTTGGATGAAGAGGATGGTTGAAGGCTAATAGGGTGGAGCAGGATGACTATTGAGAGAGCCAACCCCACTTAGCTCCTTTACTCCTCTCTCTCCCTCTCTCTTTCAGTCCTCTTCTTTTCTGTATTTCCATGTACACTCCTGTCTTGTTGCTGTCAGGCCTGAGTAAAAAATACTAATGCTAAAAATTAACTGGGGTGTTTAATTTTGATTTGATAAAAGATTCCATTCTGGAATATCTGGTGATCATTTGTGTTTTTGTTTATAAACAGTATGAATAAATATATGCGCTTACCGGCCACTTTATTTGGTACTCTTGTCCAACTGATCGTTAACAAATTTCTAATCAGCCAATCACATGGCAGCAACTCAATGCATTTAGGCATGTAGACATGATCAAGATGATCTGCTGCAGTTCAAACCAAGCATCAGAATGTGGAGGAAAGGTGATTTAAATGGCTTTGAATGTGGCATGGTTGTTGGTGCCAGACAGGCTGGTCTGAGTATTTCAGAAACTGCTGATCTACTGGGATTTTCATGGACAACCACATTAAAACAAATCTGTTTACATTTTGATTTCTATGTCTTCTTGGTGCACAACTCTTATTGAGAAACCTGTTTGGAAACAGGCAATATTTTCCACATTCCTGCTTGGTCTCATTAGTCACCACTCTTAAAACTCGCCACAAACATAAATGTTCCAATTACTATCAAGAAAATGTGCAAGACCACAAAATATTGCAGACTGTAGAGCATTTTTCATCCCTTAGTCACCACCTTTCAACAAAACCAGCTGACCAAATAATACAGAGAGCTTACGAACTCGACTCAAAGCGTTCAATATCATCACGTTACATTAAAAAACATGAGAGTCGTCGCCGTACCACTCGGTTCAAGTGTATGCATGTGTCGTGTCTGTGTGTGTGTACGTACTCCACTGTCCTCCACACAACAATCTCGTCACACCTCTCCAGTATCAATTAAAAGCAACAGTCGCCTCGTCCGCTTCTGTTTATCCATATCTCTGGCTCTCCCCCTGCCAGTGAAAACATTAACATAAGTAAGCTCTCTCCACGACAGGCCGAACGAAACATCGACACGGACTGAAAAAAACACCCAGGTCCAGGAGAGCGGCTAATGAGGGAGCGTCGGCGAGCCAGGGGCTGATGGGTAAAGCCACGCATGGGGAGAGAGGACTAGTGTAATTGTTCAAGCCCTTGTCTCTGTTGATACAGGCTCTTCAGAAAGCATGTGATTTAGCTAAAAGCCATCTCCAGGCCAAGTAATTAGAGACACCATTTAGGACCGGCATTAGCCAGATCCACTGTTATTGACTCGCACAATGCGCACACACCAATTTAGCAGCGCGCGCTGGGTGTTATTCAAGCTATTTGGGGTGAGATTAGTCGCCCGGTGTGACAGAGAGAGTAAGTGAGTGGACAAGTGTGTGTGATGATGGGATGTGTCTTAATATGTTTTCTCTGTCTGAGCAGGGTGTGCATTGATGTGTTTAAACACCGGGATCACTGTATGTCCTCAGACAGAAGCACGAACACTTGAAGAGGATGAAGGATTTGCTGTGTGAGTAAGAGAGCTGTTTGTCTGTGTGTTTTAGTGCAGTTCGGTGTTTAACAACGCTGGGTCAGGGGGACAATTAAAGCCATCCAAAGTGTGACTCGACTGACGACAGGACACACACATACACATTTACACAAAGACATGCCAGGCCTGCATTTTTAGTCGCTCTGAATTTCTTCTGTGTTAATAAAGCATAATGCACTGTAAATGAGAGGTATTATGCTATTTTAAAATTTAAACTAGGGAGTTGTAAGGTGCACTTTTGTATTTAACAGATCCTCATTAGTTTCTTAAGGATATATGGTAACAATTTACATTAACAGTACATGAATAATGTGTTAATATGTAAACTAAACATTACTTTATTATGAACTAATTATGAGTTAAGGCATGCACTAGTCATTAACTTTAACTACAACATGAGTTCATGTGTGAATAACGGCTACCTTAATTATTTAGTTGTTAGTACATGATTGTTTGGTAATTAATGTATTAATTACCACATTAGTTTATGGTTAATGTAACATCATGAACTCAAAATATGTCAATGTAGAATTATACCATGACTAGGCATGGGCTGGTATAAGATTCTGGCGGTATGATATTCCAGTTTCACAGTATCACGGTATTGTGATTACTGCTCTAAAATATATTCTTTTTAAATGTCTTGGTAAAAACAAAAAAATTTTTTCCCTTTGAAAACAATATGTTTTATTTTTTGAAATATTTATAATATTTTGTAGCAGTAAACATGTCAGGCTGAATAATTCAAATGAATCACTGACTTCTGCTGTCTTCATTTTTTTCATAAACAGATTTCTTTACAATTTAAAATGGCATTGTTTGGATTTTTTTCTGCTGGTTTTCCTTAAAAAAATAAATAAAAAAATAAAAGTAATTTAAAAAAAAACATACTCTTACCTTAGGAACGGAATTGCAGAAAATTTTGGTGGTTTTAAAACCTTGACTTTTCCAAACCGCGGTATACCTTGAAAACGGTTATCATCCCATGTCTAATCATGACTATACTTGGAGGGGCACATCACCATTAACCCACTCTTAACTACTCATGAACTCTTTATGCACATCTGTCTAGTGCGTTTCCACTAAATAACATTAGAAACATGTTCGATCATCAAAATGAACAGTTTAAACACAGGAGTTGATTAGTAGTTAAGGATGAGTTAATGGTGATGTGCCCCTTCAAGTACAGTCATGCCAAAATTATACATTAACAGCTCATGACTTCATGTTGGTTACATTTAGCTTTAACTTAAATCCTAATAAATACATTTATTAACAACATGTACTCACAAGTAATTAAGGTAGTCGTTATTTACATGTCAACTCATGTGAATCATTTTATAGTTCAAGTTAGTTCATGATTAACGCGTGCCTTAACTCATGATTAATTAATAACGATGTTTAGTTTACATATTAATACTTAATCATTATTCATGTATTGTTATTGTAAAGTGTTACAGGATACACTTTTTTATCTTTAAAATGCCATCAAGCACACATTTGCACTTATGTACTAATTTGTACCTTTAAGGTCCAAAAGTGTACCTTTTGAAAAGGTGCTGCCCCAGTGGCAAGTTTTGTACCTTTTGAGGACATAAAAAAAAATTGAGTAAAATTTGTTTTTATGACTGTAACTTTTATGACTTCAACTGTAATATGTCCACTAATTTGAAATATAAGGTTGGCGTGGTGGCTCAGTAGTTAGGCAAGAAGGATGCTGTTTCGAGTCCCGGCTGGACCAGATTTCTGTGTGGAGTTTGCATGTTCTCCCATGATGGCATGAGTTTCCTCCAGGTGCTTCAGTTTCCCCCACAGTCCAAAGACATGCGCTATAGGTGAATTGGATTAACTAAATTTGCCATAGTGTATTCTTCATATAGTTAATGCATAAAAAATGCAATTCTTTATTTGATAAACAAACTTTAATAACATTTATTTAAATATGCAGTGGCCGACAGTGAATTATGTTAAATAATGTGTACAGTTCATAATATTCATATAATTTTATAGTTAATTAGAGGTACATTTATAATGTTACACATTCTATATATTTCAAATAAATCATCAATAAGGTTATTTTGAACTTGTATCAAAGAATAATATTTAAAAAATTAAAAACAAGAATAATTTTGAGCATCGAATCAGAATAATACAATGTATGTAATGATTTCTGAAGGATTGTGTGACTGATGACTGAATGAAAATTCAGGTTGGCCACCACATTAATATATTTCTTAATATATATGTTCAAATACTGTCATTTTTAAAGAAATATTT